AAAGGAACTCTCCTGTACTGCTGGTGGGAATGCAAACTAGTACAACCACTATGGAAAACTGTTTGGAGGTTCCTCAAATTGCTAAACATGGAGCTCCCATATGACCCAACAATCCTACTCCAAGGTATCTACCCAAAAGACACAAAAACACTGATTCAAAAAGATACTTGTACCCCCATGTTTATTGCTGCATTGTTTACAATTAGAAAGACATGGAAACAGCCCAAATGCCCAAAAGTGGATGGGTGGATCAAAAAGATGTGGTACATATACACAGTGGAATATTACTCAGAAACCAAAAAAAGAGAAACACATGTCTTTTGCAGCAACATGGATGGAGCTGGAAATGATCATGCTTAGTGAAATAAGTCAGAAAGAAAAGGAAAACTACCAAATGGTTTCACTCCTAGCAGGAGTATAATGGACCAGGTGAGAAAATAATAATAACAATAATGAACAGTTATATACCAGAGACAATTTAAGGGGGTGGAGTAGGGAATGGGATAAAAAACAGTGGGAAGAGGGAAATGCCCTGGACTTTGGTGATGGCCCAGGGGTGATTTAGTGATGGGAAGCCCAAGGGGATTATAACTGAGATGGAAAAATGCACAAAATGATGTAAAAATAAACTATTATATTATTAATTTAAAAAAAATAGAAGAGTGAATGGCTGGCAGACCACTGTTCTTGACTAGTTGAGAGGAGGTGAATTCTAGCACCCAAGTCAAAGAGTTGACCTTGGCAGAGACAGTCCATGGCAGGATATCTGGTACAAATGCTGTCAGTGGGTAGATGTGAGGGTGGAAGCTTTGATTTTCTCTGCATTAGGAAGCATCAATAGAGAAGGGGGGAAGTTATAGGAGATTAGAGAAGGTATAGAACAATCACCCAGATCAACAGTTTGGGCCACAAGGCAACTTTGCTAGAGGTTCACCCTATGGATAATTTTAAGAAAATCAGTTTCCAGATAACTCAAGTTCCAAATGTTCTTTTCCTAAAATTGATCTATTTCCTAAAACAGTCTACGAAAACAGGCCACCTGCCACTCCTTAGTTGCCCTTCTCCCACTTGACAGAAGTCATATCTCTCACTTAGCTCAGTCTTCCCAAAATAGTTAAGGGGGGCCTCCTGGAGGAGCAAAGACAGCACTATGCAGCACTATGAAGCTAGCTGCGGTCGCCGCAGCCACTGCAGCAGGAGTTCAATCCCCGGCCAGGGAGCTGACCCACACGGCGCAGCAAAACACTCCTGTCTCGCCCGCTGATACCCTCAGCAGTATGTCTCAATACATCTGCCTGTTCTGTTCCCTACTCTATCTCTGGTGAATCCTCGCACCGCTACCCGCTCCCCCCCCCCGACACCTCTGGCCTGTATAAATAAATAAAATTTAAAAAATAGTTAAGTAGTATAACACAGTAATTATGATTTCCAACTCTGGAGCCACATTACCTTTTTATTTTTTTTTCAAGATTTGTTTTAAATCAGGCCCGCCCTGGTGGCGCAGCAGGTTAAATGCAGCACTGCAAGCTAGCCGCAGTTGCTTCAGCAGTGTGAGTTCCATCCCCAGCCCCAGAGGTGACCCACATGGTGCAGCAAACCTTTCCTGACCCACCTGCTGCTCCCCTGCGCAGTGTTCTTTGTTAATCTGCCTGTCCTGCTCCCCACTCTGACTCTGGTGAAGCCTCTCACCACCCCTGCACCTCTGGCCTGTACTCCAGTTCTATATGCACAAATAAATAAATAATAATAATTTAAAAAAGATTTGTTTTAAATCATGTGGGTTAGCTCCCTGGCCAGGGATGGAACTCAGGCTGTAGCAGTGATAATGCTGAGACTTAACCCCTAAGCCACCAGGGAGGCCCTGTTTTTACATTTAAAAGGACAGTTCAATTAGAAAAAGAGAGGCCTCTGCATAGTCATGAGTGGGCAGGAGAGCTGCGCCTTTGTGGAACTGTTATCTATTATTAAATTAATTTCTTCTAGGTTGTGACTAGGTTGATTTGTAAGGACCAGTGATTCTCTCCACAGTGGCCTTCAGCCCCACTTCTGGTCTGTGCGTGTAAGTACTATAGAAGTCTGATACTAGCTGCAGCAGTTGGCACCTAAGGATTTTTCATTTCTATAGCTGCTTTAAATTATTTACAGCCCCACCTCCAGTTTCTGGTCTTGTTGTTACAGGGCACCCCAATGTGGATTGGGTTGCCTGTCTGTGGGTCTTCACCCGTGCGCTTACAATTCAATCGTATTATGGACACACTCAAAAGGTTAAATAATGGATTTATTTATAAGGAGAAAGGAATAACCCAGGGAAAGAGGGAGAGAAACACAGGTTAACTAGGATGTCCTACCAGTTCTGCTGACCTGGACTCCACCAGCACGCTGAAAACCAATTGAGCGCCAAAGCGATCAGCTGCAAACCACCGGGTGCCCACCCAGAGCCCACATGTCCGGTTTTATCCCAACCTGGCTGCTCAGCTCCGCCCTCACGTCCAGGCATGCTTCTTCTTGGTACTGATGGGATTTGGAGTTCCAGCTTCTGGAGTAGGGGCAGAGTCCATGAAACCTGTACCTGTTACATTGTGACACCTCCATCTTACATTTTCTCCTCTTAGTGGCCATTAGCAGCCAAGTACATAATATAATAATACATAATGCATGTTACACATGCCCAAGTACAAGGGTCTGACTGTGTCAGCAAGCGCCTCCTTATCAAGCAGAGGGCGGTGCCCCCAGCATGGAGGCCTGGGATGGGAGGGGCCCGCGGCGCTTGGAGAGGTCATCCCTCCTCCAGGGGGCGCCCGACCTGCCTGCTCAGCCTTGCAAAACCCGGCAGCGAGCTCTCTTGCGAAGGGCAGTGCCTGCAAGCAGCTTCTTAAGGTTAGAGGTTCCAGCCTCTGGACGCTGGGACATAGGGGAAAGGGGGAAACCTGAGATCGGGTGGGTGACCAGTCCAGAAATCGACCAGCTCCAGGGAGCCACAGTCTTGCCTTTCTACTTTTTGAGGTAATGTGAGAATGGGCGGGTCAGGCTTCTCTGCGGAAACGGGATCGGGTCCCCGCGAGAGGAGCGGACTGTAGGCTGGGAGACCCGGCTGGGCGGAGGGTCAGTCCTGCAGACACGGTTCCCGCTTCCTGGTCATCCTCCACCTCTCTCCCCTGCCCTGCGTGCCGCCTCCCAGCCTGGACCTCGCCTTTGGGATTCACTCTTCCTTGAGGGAGAACCTTCTCTTCCTTCCACTCTGGACTTTCACCCCCGGCAGGTGAGGCCTCCATGGAGCGACTCCTGGCCCAGCTGTGCGGTACCAGCGTGTTGCAGCCACTCCCGGTGTGGGAGGGGGACACTACAGGCCATTGCTTCACTCAGTTGGTGCTTAGCGCCTTGCCCCACGCGATCCTCGCAGTGCTTAGTGCCTGCCACTGGGGCACCCCGAGGTGAGTAAAAACAGATGCAAGACTCTGTCCAGGTGTGCCTGCAGACCTTTCCCGAAACCCTCATTTCCCTGCAATGTAACCAGAATAGCGCGGTGTCTGGAATAGAGCAAAAGTAGAATAAAATCTGGGCATTAAGCATTTTGCAGCAGTGGGACAGTTCTTCTAATTGACATGCATTTAATAAAACGTATAGCACACTCCTAGGCACATATTCAAATGTCCGGTGTGTGGCAGAAATTGCCACTTTTATAGCTTTTTCAGATGCCCAAACACAAGTGATTATGGATTGAGACAGAATTGGATGAGTGTAGTTAGCCACAAAGGATAACTTGTGTTGAAATTGTGTGGTCAAGTCTCACCACTTCCATCTATGAATCCTATCTTCCTAGGCTAAAAAAAAGTGTATGTGGTCAGCTAGGAGGAAGCAACAGGTAAAAGAGAACAGAATCAAAGCCTTAATTCTCCCTGGGGTTAGAGGCTATACGGTATGGGTACCAAACTGACTTTGATTTTGTGTTCGATTCCTGTATGGATCCATATGGCTAAAGTTATTGTCGCTCTAGCTGCTAACAAGACAGGGAGTCTAGTCTCTACCTCCTCATCTGATGGACAGAATGTGTTGACATCCAACATGAATTAGGGGGCTCATGAATCCCTTCGATAGGGGAAATTTCAAATATACTTGGTCTGGGAGGGATCCTGATTTGTTATGCAGAATGAGACAAAAGTCCATCAGTACAGATTGCCACAGCCTGCTCAGAAAAGCATCTATTAAAAATTGACAGTCTTCACAATCTAATCATGTAATCAATAGAAACTGGAGATGTAGGGACAAAGAAACTTTTTTTTTAAAGGTTTATTTATTGGTACATACAGAAATGGGGGTACAGGCCAGAGGTGCAGGGGCGGTGAGAGGAGTCACCAGAGACAGAGTGGGGAGCAGAACAGGCAGACTGACAAAGTACACTGCTGAGGGGAGCAGCGGGTGGGTCAGGAGAGATCTGCTGCGCCATGTGGGGGTCGTCTCTCTGGCCAGGGACCGAACTCTTGCTGCCAGTAGCCTAAAGTGTCTTAACTTGTTGTACCACCAGGGTGGGCCTTTTTTTTACTTAACAGACTTTTCATGCTTTGGTAAGTCCCCTGCCCACCTGCGATTATGCAGTTGCCTTTCATTTTCTTTCTCTTTTATCCTAATAAAGCTGTCCTTTTAAAATGTTAAAAACAAAAACAGACTTTTGTGCTTTGCTAAAAAAGGTTAGAGAGATCTTGAATCTCAGAGAGGAAGGGCCCTCAGGACGTTGGCTCCCACCTCCTCACTGCTTACGGACTGATGGTGCAGAGCAGGAAGAAGACTTGCCCAAGTATCTAAGACTGACTGATAGCCACTTGGTGCCAGTGTTCCAGCCTCCAAGGGCCACGTCATTCTATTTCTTAGGAAATAATAATTACTGGTTAATAATTATTATTTGTTAATAATTGCTGTTTGATAATAATTATTAATAAAATAATTGTTCTAATTATTATTAGAATTATTAAAGATTTCCTGTTGCTCCAGCAAAAAGCCCTCCATATATCTGTGATCAGTTGGACTTTTTAAAAGGAAACCCACAGCATTTTAATCTCCATTCAAACTTTTCCAGTAATTTACCCTGCTCACTGAGGAACTCACACTCAGCCCTCTTCGTATATGACATTTTAAGACATTCTAACATTCATCGATGCAGGCATGTTTTCCTATACTGGCCATGAAGATATAGACAAAATTGAAAAGAACTTTTCCTTCAGCTAGGAGTCACAAAAATGGCCCACAACACCTTCTATACCATACCACACCACCTCTACTGGAAAGAAAGTAGAACATTCTGAGTTGTCAAAATTTAGGCTATTTTGAGATTATGAAAGCTGTGTGTAATTTTATTTGTATTCATCCAATAGTGCTTCAGGAGGACTGAAGGGTCATTTTAGGTACAGACGTTTTTGTTTTTTTTTTTTAAAGATTTATTTATTTGTGCATACAGAACTGGGGTACAGGCCAGAGGCTCAGGGGCGGTGAGAGGCTTCACCAGAGAAAGAGTGGGGAGCAGAACAGGCAGATCGATGAAGTACACTGCTGAGGGGAGCAGCGGGCGGGTCAGGAGAGGTCTGCCGCACCATGTGGTCACCTCCGGGACAGGCGGGAATCAAACTCATGAGGAAGCGGCTTTAGATTCTCAGTGCTGTGCTTTAACCCGCTGCGCCACCAGGGAGGGCCTACAGACGTTTTTTAAAATGAATACTTATTCTTCAGTGGTAGGAAAATTAAGGACCCCCCCCCCCCAGGGTCTTCATGTGTGTTACAACCTTATCTCACAATTAATTTTGGTGGTGAGAGAATGGTGAGAAATGGGAAATGGTATAGGTAGATTAGAAAACAGATTATGTTAATCTAAGATATTTTAGGGAGAAAAGGCAATGGGTTCCATGATAAAGTGGGGCAGATATAAGTTGTATCCCTCTAGGTGAGTTATTGGAGGTGTGTCTGGGCCCCGAGTCAGCCATGATGTGCCTCCTTTTCTCTTTTCCCCTTGTCCCCAGGAGTCCAGATTACAACCTACCCTGCAGTCCTGGCTGGCGCCTCCGACTTGTAACCTCCTTCCTGCTTTCCATCTTGCCACTGTTAGACTTCCTTCCAGTTGCTATGCCACCGGGGGCAGGCCCAGGGCCCGTAGGGCTAGAGGTGTTGGCAGGGGGCGTGGCAGCTGTGGCGTGGCTCAGCCACAGCCTGGCCCTGTGGGCACTGGCACATTCCCCCCATGGCCGCTCCCGGGGCCCCTTGGCCTTGGCTCTGACTGCCTTCCTGCCAGCCCCAGCCATAGTGCTCACCCTCCTGTGGCACTGCCAGCGAGGCACACTCCTGCCCCCGTTGCTTCCAGGGCCCCTCTCCCGCCTGTGCTTTCTCGTCCTGCAGCTGACTGCTCTCTTGGCCTATGGACTCGGCTGGGCAGTCCCTGGGGGGCCAAGGGAACCCTGGGCCCACCATCCTCTCCCGTCTGAGGAACGTGAGGTAGCTGAAGATGGGGAGAGTTGGCTGTCACGTTTTTCCTATGCTTGGCTGACACCCCTGCTATCCCGAGGTGCCCGAGGAGAGCTCCGACAGCCCCAGGACACTTGCCGTCTCCCCCATAGATTGCACCCAGATTACCTGGCCCGTGTCTTCCAGGCACACTGGAAGGAGGGGGCCCGGCTTTGGAAGGCTCTGTATGGGGCTTTTGGGCGGCATTACTTGGCACTTGGAGTGCTGAAGCTGGTGGGTACTATGCTGGCATTCTCAGGCCCCCTGCTGCTGTCCTTACTGGTGGGCTTCCTGGAAGAAGGACAGGAGCCACTCAGCAACGGCCTGCTCTATACCCTGGGGCTAGCCAGTGGGGCTGTGCTGGGGGCGGTGCTGCAGAATCAGTATGGGTATGAGATCCAGAAGGTGACTCTTCAGGCACGGGTAGCCGTGATGAATATCCTATACCGAAAAGCACTACAGTTGGGGCCCCAGCGCCCTCCTGCAGGCGAGGTCCTGAACCTGTTAGGCACTGACTCTGAGCGCCTACTCAACTTTGCTGGGAGCTTCCATGAGGCCTGGGGCCTGCCCCTACAACTGGCCATCACCCTCTACCTGCTGCATCATCAAGTGGGGTTGGCCTTTGTAGGGGGTCTGATCCTGGCAGTGCTGCTGGTACCTGTCAACAAAGTGATTGCCACCCGGATCATGGCCAGTAACCAGGCGATGCTGCGGCACAAGGACGCACGCGTGAAGGTGAGGGGCTGTTGGGGTCCCTCAGCAATCTGGAGATCCCACCAAGCCTCCAGATCCCCAGGTTCTCCCATGCCCAGTGCCTGAGGGTTAAAGAGCTCAGGGTGGAGAAAACTGGGATCACATTCTAACTCAGTCACTAGTTTAATCGCCTCAGACAGTCACTTAATTTCTCTGGCCCTCTGTTTCCTCATCTGTAAAATGAGAATAATAATAGTCTGCCTCAAAGGGTTAAGAGGATCATATGAAGTAGTGCTTGGTACAGTGCCAGCCACATAGTAAGCACTAAATAAATATGGCCCATTAACAGTAATACAGGAGGTAGGAAGTAGCTTCACTGACCAAAGACCCGGGCAACTCTGGGTACTGGGGTTGGTTTTGGGTTCTGTGCCCCTTTATAGAAGGGATGGTCGTCCCTGGAATCCAAACAACATACTTGTCAGCCTTTACTGGAATGGCCCAGAATGCTAATTCAGGGGACTGGAGAGCTATCCCTGGTAGCTAGTTATAGATGAGACCTTTCCTCTTCATCACGGCAACTACAGACTAGGTCTCCAGGGCCATCTGAGAAGGCTAGTGCCGTCCTGGCTTGCAGGCTGGGCAGTGCAGGTGTCAGGACGCAAGGCGTCCCCCTCACCCTGGCCCATGTTCCCTTTTTCCATCAGCCTGTCTGGCCCTGGACTGTGGCCTGGGTTCCTTTCTATACCTGAGTCTTCCTACAGGAATAGTCTCCTACCACCCAAGCCATCGACTCGGTGCTATCTCTCCAGGCCCCAAAGCCTACATTGCTGGCTTTGGGAAATAGTCCTCGGTCCTTCACCTAGCGGGAGGAGAAGTGCTTTTACCCCAGTGCAGTAACCCCTGTACTTCTAGTCTCCTAGGAAGGCTGGGGGACCCCTTATGCCCTTGCACCCAGCTGGAGCATATGGAGAAGTGAAACACTGGGAGGGGAAACAAACTAAGGCTGAAAAGAGTGTGAAGGCAGGACTTCCAGAAAGGACTGAGATGAGAAGAAAACCTAGCTAGTGATACAGAAGGGCTGGGCTTGGAATTCCCCAAGAGCCAGGGGGAGACGTGGCAGAGGAGGGGACACGTGAGTAGTGTATCCACTTCATACTGCTCTTTTGTCCTTGTCCTTAGCTCATGACAGAGCTGCTGAGTGGCATTCGGGTCATCAAGTTCTTCGGGTGGGAGCAGGCACTGGGGGCTCGAGTGGAGGCCTGCCGGACTCTGGAGCTGGGGCGCCTCCGGGTCATCAAGTACCTGGATGCAGTCTGCGTGTACCTGTGGGCCGCCCTGCCGGTTGTCGTCTCCATTGTCATCTTCATTACCTATGTCCTCACGGGACACCAGCTTACTGCCACCAAGGTGAGGACCAGGAGGGAAGGGGTCTGCTGCACGAAGACATGGGAGGGAAAGCAGCAGCAAGAGACTGCAGTGGACTGGAGAACGGGGCCCAGGCCCTCTGTGCTGCTGGGAAGGCGGGAAGGAGGGTCTCTGGTAGGTTGCCTTATCCTTGCCCAACCAAGAGAAAATTTTCTGAAGGAACCTTTTTCTAGGGCCCTGGATATATAACCCTTCCCTTTGTGAAGGGATTCCCTTTTTCTTCCCTTCCTCACCAAGTTCCAGTTAGGCCCAGACTAGGTGTTAAGTTACCCTCATTCTGCTGCCTTGGAAATAAAAAAATTCCATGATCCAGTGCTGAGAATAGTAGATATTGCTATTTGGAAATTTTATGATTTCAGAATGCGTTAGGCTTATCAAGATACAACCTGGATCTCTTAAAGGCAATTTGACATTCGTAGGGTTTCTGGGAGCAGTTAACTTTAACCCAGGGATTGTCCCGTTTATCCCTCAGTTCTGCTCTCCAAAGATCTGTCCACATGGCCCAGGCCTTCACACAGCTCCTGCGCTTTGGGTGCTGTCACTCACACACATTCCCACTCCACTCTTCCCAGGTGTTCACGGCCCTGGCATTGGTGCAAATGCTCATTTTCCCCCTCAACAACTTCCCATGGGTGATCAATGGCCTGCTGGAGGCCAAAGTGTCATCGGACCGGATCCAGCGTTTTCTTGACCTCCCCAGTCACAACCCCCAGGCCTACTACAGCCCAGGTAACTGGGAAGCGAGAGGGCAGACCCAGCGCAGGGTGAGCGGGGGTGGGTCTGTAGCCCCTTGGGTGCTATACATAGAGACTGCCAGAACAGGGTCCTGGGAAGGAATCTGAGGCCAAGACTGAGGCTGAACCAACCCTGGGCAGATTAATAGGGCATAGGCAAGCCAGTGCCATGACCCTGGTTTACCCTTCCCAAGCATTAGGTTGTAGAGTAGGAGCCCAAGTTGAGAGATTTCTTCCCTATTAAGATCCCCCCACAGAGCTATCTACAGTAGTGGAACTACATGAAGCCCTGTTCTCTTGGGATCCAGCTGGAACCAGCCAGCAGACCTTCATCAGTCACCTTGAAGTAAAGAAGGTTTGTTGGTCAGACACCGTGCATGAGTCCCCAAACAAATGAGATGGGGGCTTGGGGACAGGAAAACAAGGGTGGAGCTGGGCATAGCTGTTGATCCTGTGGCTCTACTGGTGGGAGGACGGAGGGGTTTTACTGAGCGAGTTCTAATCAGGCGATGAGACCTCAGCCCTCATTCTTCCACACGCGGGCCTTTCAAGCAGCCATGTCTAGCTGGTCTTTAAATAGTTCACCTCTCCCTAGTCCAGAACAAGTGTTTGCCTCTCAGTGACCTTATGAGGCTAAAAACCTCAGAGATAATCTAGTATCTTCTCCAGACTGGGAATCTGGAGGAGAGGCCCTGCAGTCCCTTTCAAGAAAGATTTTTGTGAACGCGGCATACGAGCCTCTATTTAGCCCAGTGAAAAGGGATCACACACCCTGTGACTCATACCTGGTCAAAGAAGCACTTGAACATTCCTGGCAGGACACAACTGTTTGCTCCAGTCCTGAGTCTTCACTCGCCATTGACTTCTGTCCAACCCTCTGGCCCACAGCTCACCCCAGCATTCTCCAGGGGTACCCGCCCCGCCCCCACTGCATTTGGCTGACATTTCTTGTTTGGGCTGTGTGTTGTGTTTTGTTTTTCTCTTAGTTCAGACAAGACAAGGCTGGAGTTTTTCAGAGGAATTTTACTAATGTGTCAGTCAGGCTTTTTTGGATGTAAGTCATAGAAACCCACTGGAGCTAGCCTAAGCAAACAGGAATTTATAATAAGGATCTAGAGATGAATGGTGGACTCCAAAGGCAAGCACGCAGCTGGGTCTCAGCAAGCCCCAAGCTCGGCCCTGACTTGCAGCGCACCCTCTTTCTGTCTGCTGCCCTCTGTAGCTGCCTTGTTCTCTCTGTGGACTCGCTCCCCACTAGCAGATGTCACTGGAGAGCTCTACCCCAGACCTCAGCCAAAAAGAGGGAGAATGCCTGGGGCAGGGTCTCACATTATTCTGGCCCTCACTCTTAGATGGCAGGGTGGCCGCATCCCAGACAACTTCTAGGAGCCTTATCTGGCTTTGGATAAGGAATTGGTCTCTTTTCTGTATAGGGCGATAGTGCCACGGTGTAGGGGGCACAGGAATATTTTAACTGCAGATCACCCAAATGGATTCCTGTCCTTTTAGCTCTGAGATACCAGAAGTCTAGTCACAGATGGGATTCAGCCAGCAGCCCGGCCTCCAGAGTCTGGCTCCTTCCCTCTGCTCTCCCCATTCTGGCTCCCCTCACAACTTTCCCTGATAGTTCTTGGGGCAGTTTTTCTCCTGTGCTGTCTCACACACTGTACTTCCCCTTTCCACAGGCAGAGAAACTGAGAGCTTGGAGTAAGAGATAAAGACCGTAAATCTCTGGGTCCAGCAGGGTATCTAATTCTGAGATACAGCTCAGACTGTGGGGTGCAGAATTTCCCTAGAGACTAACTGGGGCCTGGAGAGAAACCTGGGTGGGATGACCTACAGCCCAGGGCCTCAGGAGGGAGAACTGATGGTTGATTGTATGGCTTCCTTGCAGGGTGTCCTGGTGGGCATCGTGGGGAAGGTAGGCTGTGGGAAGAGCTCACTACTGGCCGCCATCGCTGGGGAGCTCCACAGGTAACCAGCATCCAGCTTCCGCGTTCTTAGCTGTTTCCCTCAGCAAACACTGACCTAGCGTTTGGTGTGTGGTGGACTCCTTTTTAGGGGCCAGAGAGGCCAAGATGAACAAGACATGGTCCCCTTCTTGGGAGAGTTCCCAGTCTGGAGAGGGGAAGGCAGTCAAAAAAGTGAGTTAAAATCATCACACTTGAATGTTACAAGTGCTACAAAAATGAATGAAGAAGAAATTAAAAGAACTAAAGAGAAAAATTAGGGCAAATGAGTGAAAAAACAAAGGGAAGCATCAAACATCAGCTAGTGTTAGAAAATGTGTTTGTGTAGGGAAGGGAGCCAGTGAGGAGCAGAGGTGCGAAGGAGGAAGGCCTTTTAATTTGAGGGTGAAAATGTGTGAAGCCACACTCTGCTGTAATCCCTCACACATCTAGCTGAGCCAGCTGCTTGGCCCCAGCCTCTCGATCTCAGAGGCTGCTGATCCAGAGAGCCATGGTGTGAAGGGGGCCCCTGGGTAGAAGATAGCAGTCTTCTGGGAAGACTGGGAGGCTTCTGGGAGGCTTCTGGGAAGCAGGGGCTGAGTATGGAGGGACCCAGGCTGCAGCCCACCCCCATGCTGCTGGCCTGGCTCTGCAGGTTGCAAGGTCGGATAGCTGTGTTGGGGCTGGCCAAAGGGTTTGGCCTGGCCACTCAGGAACCCTGGATCCAGTTCGCCACCATCCGAGACAACATTCTCTTTGGGAAGACTTTTGATGCCCAGCTGTACAAGGACGTTCTAGAGGCCTGTGCCCTCAACGATGACCTTAATGTGAGTGCCCATCCTGAAACTTCTTGGTCACCGGCTTCCCCTGAGTGCCTGACACCTCAGGTCTGAGGCTCACTCTCTGGGAAGGGAGTAAATGAGTAAATGAAGCTTCTACTGGGACATCATTTAGTAGGGGCTGGCTGTGTCTGGCTTTGATCCTCCCAGAATGTACCCTCTTCTTCTCAGTACCCTCTTCCTGTTCAGATTGGGAGGGATGGTGGTCATTGCTAACAGGCATGGGAGAGTCAGGGCACTCTAAGGAGGCCAGCCATGCCCATCAGCTTCTCCATGCCCAGAGTACTAAATTTAGAGGGAAAGTGACTCCAGGTCTCTTCTGTGACTTTCCTACCCATGTCCCATGTTGCCACCAGAATGGTCATCACCACTACCCTATCCAGGCCCATGTGGAACCTTCTGGAAAGGAGGAGTCCTGACTTTGACCATAGATACTGATACTCATTTAGCATTTGTTTCTATATTTGTCATTTCTCAAAAGTCTACTGGGCACCAGAAACTGTTCTAGGCACTAAGAAAAGAGATGAAAAACAAAATTTTTCCTCAGGGGTCAACATGTGATAGACCACAGGTGCTTCCTCTGGTATGGGGTTTCCTTAGCTAAGGAGACTTCTGAGGCCACCAGAAGGCTCAGGCTGCAAACCTGTGAACGTTTTCACATTGGATTTGCCCATCATCCCATTACCTGGTAAAAAAGCAGGGTAGTGAGGTTAAAAATCTGTGACTGCCCTGTGGAACAACTGTGAGCAAGGTAGTTACCCTGTCTGAGCTTTGGGCTCATCTGTGAGAAGCGAACAACACTAACTTCAGAAGGTTGTGGGGTTGGATGAGATGTGCTAGAAGGTACAAGTGTTTTGTTGGAAGTCTGACTTCTCCCTTCTGATTTGCTCACCCCAAATTTAAGTCCAGTCTCCTCAAGCATGTTGGCTCTTTTTTATTTTTTGAAAAGATCTGGGGTATAGGCCAGAGGTACAGGAGATGAGAGGATTCAGGAAGGCAGATTGAAATACACTGCTGAGGGGAGCAGCAGGCGAGACCGGAGAGGTCTGCTGTGCCATGTTGGTCAGCTCCCTGGCCAGGGTCAAACTCAGGCAGTAGTGATGATAGTGCAGACTTAACCCCTAGGCCACCAGGGAGGCCCTCCTTGGCTCTCTTGACCCTTGTCATCTCTTCCCTGTACAGGGATAGGAGGGGGGCTAGAAGGTACAGGAGGGTTTTCTGACCCACACGGGGGTGGGGGGGCTGTCCCCTCAGATCCTGCCTGCTGGAGACCAGACGGAGGTGGGGGAGAAGGGTGTGACGCTCAGTGGGGGACAGCGGGCCCGGATTGCCCTAGCTCGTGCTGTCTACCAGGTAAGTTAAAGGTGGGGATTCTGGAACCTCTGGCGTTCAACTGAGAGGGGAGAGAAGGGGAGGAGAAATTTTCATCAGCATCTAGTTTCTTGCCTCCCACCTCCGTGCTCCTGTCCTGCTGGCTCCTGTGCCATTCCATCCAGAATTAAAGGGTTAAGGCAGAATTAAAGATCAGTTATAAAGCTCTATGTAACTTAAGACCCTTAAGCGAGCGAGGAAAACTGAGTGTTGGCTCTGGCCTTGTGACTGAAGGGCGGTCCATCCTCCTCCTTCTCTGCTGCCTTGGGGGTATCACCAGAGTTCCTCACAGTCTCCTCTCGCTCACTGCCAAGAGGTCATGTCCTGGGAAGGGTCTGGGTTCTGCCTGGGGCCAAGGGGCTAGGGCCTAGTCCCCAGGGTGTCCCCACTTTTCCCTAGGAAAAGGAGCTCTATCTCCTTGATGACCCTTTGGCAGCTGTGGATGCAGATGTGGCCAGCCACCTGCTGCAACGGTGCATCCTGGGAATACTGGGCCACACCACGCGACTGCTCTGTACCCACCGCACTGAGTACCTGGAGAGGGCTGACGTGGTGCTGCTGATGGAGGCCGGTCGCCTCATCCAAGCTGGTAATCACTGCAGGGAGCCCAGCTGAATGAGGGAGGCGTCTGTCCAGGCATTGTGGAGAAGAGGACAGATGAACCGTCTAGGGCAGACTGCGCTCTGGGCGTGGCCTGGGCACGTCACCCTCCTGTCTAGTGGGAGGCCCTCTCCTGACTCCACTGAACTGGTGTGGGGACGTGGAGAGCATAAGGGAAAGGAGCTCACTGGAGAAATGCTGGGTTGGGGACTTTGGCTTTGTGACCGGGTGCTCTGGGGAACTACAGGTCCAGATCTGGAAGACGGCCTGATGCCCTTGCAAAAGAGAAAGCAGTCAGGTTTTTTGTTTTAAAAAATGTTTTTGTTAAAACACACATGCACAAACGCTGAAGGATTATGAGCCAGAGACATAGCCATCTGTAAGTTTACTGGGAGGGAAGCAGGGCGAAGTGAGGACAGCCTCTCCAGTTAGATTTCATGAATGAAGTTGATGAAAAAGCTCTGCAGTAGTGAAAGGGGACTCTGGACAGGCAGTGTAGTGTGGCCGTCACTCTCCCAGGGGTGAGCATTTGCTAACTCTGATAGGCCTTCAGATGCAGAAGGATGGACTCCATGGTTTGCTGAGCAGAGGGGGTCTGGGGCAGGGTCTACCGGGGTGGTTCAGGACAGAAGTCCAGAGAGAATGCACACATAATCTAGAAAAGCACAGTATATACCCAGAACAGACTCTCCTAATCTGATACTTCCAGGACCTCCCTCTGAGATCCTGCCATTGGTTCAAGCTGTCCCTTCAGCCTGGGCAGAGAATGGACAAGAGTCTGACTCAGGTATGGCCCAGGGGGGGAGAGGATGAGGCTTGCTTTTCACGCCACACTAGAGAGAGGTTTTCTTGGAAGCCTGCCTGCCTTTTTCAACACTGAAGTGGATTTGCAACACTGTCCCTGAAAGTCTTGTCCCACCCTGCAAGTCCAATGCCCTCTTGATTCTCATAGCCATAGCCCCGTCAGTACAGAGCCCAGAGAGGACAAAGGAAGGCCTGGAGGTGGAGAAGAGCGCATCGGGTCGCCTGCTGCAGGAAGAAAGCAAGCAGGAGGGTGCTGTGGCCTTCCATGTGTATCAGGCATATTGGAGGGCCGTGGGGTGGGGCCTGGCCCTGGCCATCCTCATCTCTCTGCTCCTCATGCAAGGTAGGAGTATCCCCTGAAGCTGCCTATCCCACCCTCAGACCTGTTGTTTAGGCCCCTACACATCCATCATTTTGTGCTAATCATTACAAAGTCTAGAGACTCGGCTTCCCTGGTGCCTAGGGGTTACGGCTCAGGAACTATCACTGCTATGGCTTGAATTCGATCCCCAGCCAGGGAGCTAATCCACACATGGCGCAGGAGACCTCTCCTGTCTCTCCTGCTGCTCCCCTTAACAGTGGATTTCAGTAAATCCACCTGTTCTGCTCCCCACTCTATCTCTGCTGAATCCTCTCAAGCTCCACGCCACCATTCTACATTAAAAAGCAACAACAACAACAACAACAAAAAAAAACAAAGCCCAGAGACTCACAATAGCTAGGATGAGGCATGCACCCAGCTCTAAGTCCCAGGGGCCAGAGGAGTCCACCCTGTATCCATCTTCCAGTCTGCCCCATTCTGCAGATTTGAGATCCTGCTCTCCCCAGAGCTAAAGTGTGACAGGCATGGGAAAGCACCCACAGGGAGGACATGGGGTCACATCAGGGAGGGAAGGCCCAGGGGAAAAGGGGTAGAAACCTATGTCAAAGACAGAACAGGGGCATTGAATAGAAGGAAGGAGTGGAGTCTCCCCAGCGCCCAGTCTCTCCTGCACCCCCCAGGCACACGGAATGCAGCTGACTGGTGGCTCTCCTACTGGATCTCCCAGCTGAAGGCAGCCAAAAATAGCTCCCAGGAGGCACCAGTCCCCAGCACCCCAGACTTCACAGGCCTTCTCTCCACCCGGCTGCTCCTCTTCTCCCCTGGAAACCTCTAGTGAGTGACAGGACTGGGCATAGGCCTGGTGCTCTCTGGTAGTTACCAGGCACTGAATGAGAGTTGGGGGCGCTGGTATTCCGGGGGGCTGTCTGTTGGAGAGTGAGGGGAAGGAGTATGTGGGTAGGGTGGGGGAAGGAACCCCTGAGTGGCCCTACTTTTGATTACCACAGCCCCCTCCCCACCACCCAGCACCTCAATGTTCCCACTGCCTAAAGCTGCCCCCAGTGGCTCCGCAGACATCCGCTTCTACCTCACTGTCTATGCGGTCATCGCTGGCATCAATTCCCTCTGCACCCTTCTCCGGGCAGTGTTCTTTGCAGCCGGCACCCTCCGGGCAACCGCCACCCTGCACCGCCGCCTGCTGTGGAAGGTCCTTAAGGTAAGAGGCCGAGGGATGGTGGCGTCCCAGTGCCTGGGCTCCACAGGCTCCATCCTTCCTCCCATTCCTCACTTACCACTTGCAACCTGCGGAGACGAGGGCAGAGTCGCTGCCTACATGCAAACCCGGTGTTTAAACCTGTAATTTACTTATTTGTAAAATGCGGAGAAATTTCGCCATAATCTCTTCTGATTGGACTTGAGGTCCTGGGGCTGAGTTAATCACACCCCATATTTCATGCAAGGTCTCTTTCTTGTTTGTTTTTTCCTTCTCCTCCTCTCTGCCTACCGTATCACTGTTTCCCTTCCTTTCTTTGATAAACTATCGTTCTAGGTTGTGTTTACTATGTGTCTTTGTCGTTATCTGTTTTGCAAAATACCTCTGTGTTTTGTGCATAGATATTAATAAGTGATGTTTCATTTCTTAAAGTTCTTATTTTGGGCTGGTTTTCTAAGACCTAGCCCTGTTTCTTGGTGTATGTCTAACCTGTTACTCTAAAGACTTATGAGGATTTAATTTAGTACATAGGAAGTGCTTGGCACCTACTAAAGGCACAATTAGTGAATATTATTAGTGTTAATTTTATTACAAAACTCTTTCTTGCCTGTTATTAGGGCCTCACAATTACCCAGTACAGTCAGTACTGGCTTCCCCACAGAGTGTGAGGATCAGCGTGTGAGTGGCCTGGCCACGGCTAGTCCCCGAAGAGCCAGGTCCTGAGCCCCAAGTGAAGTGACTCCACCCCCTGCCTCTGCGCACAGTGAGCTGGCAGAGAACTGTGTTCTGCCTCTCCTCCAGGAGCCTGGACAGACTCCTTCAGATTGTGAAGGAATTCACTTTTCTGAGCGTCACAAGCTTCTTCAGAAAGTTATTGACTTAGTTCCTTGCTCTAAGCAAAGACTTTCCCGAGTAACAGCAGAGGGTAGGAGGATGGGGGAAGGCAGGGAAGGGAGAGGACTGTTTTTGAGACTGTTCTCCCAACAGGAATCCACACAACTAGCAATTACTAAGCACCTACTCCAGGCCAGGCAGACTGTTGTAAGCACCTGGCAGCTGCCTACGTGGTCTCTAATCCTGCCTACAGCCCTGTGAGGTGTGGCTCCATTATCAGCCTCGTTTCCCAGATGAGGAGTAGGAACTATTAAGAGATTTAGCTCCTGGCAGCTCTCCTGCCCACCTGTGACTATGCAGGTGCCTCTCTTTCTCTCCTTTTCCTGATAAACCTGTCCTTTTAAAATGTGGGGGTGGGGGAGAAAGAAATTTAGCTCTTGGTTTAGAGTCTCACATCTAGGAAGCGGCAGAGCTGGGAATCTGAGTCACAGTCTGGCTCCAGACTGAGCGCTTAGCTGTGAGATAATACCGACTGCAAGCGCTGCCCTCTCCACATTGTCCCGCTGTGAGCCCCACGGTGCTCCTCCCGACACCCAGCTTTAAATCTCACAGGCCTCAAGTCCTGTCTGCAGGGGGGAGACTAAATCCCTGCCCTTGAAAGGGGAGCCGGCATGTCCAGCATGGCCTCTCAGGGTGGCCACTGGCCAGTGATGGGAAAATATCTTTCCCATCCTCATTCGTGCTTCCTCCAGTCTCTACCCACCTCTCCTTTCTGCCCTCAAACTCTGGGGACAGTTTACTCCTTTCCTGTTTCCTCCTGTGGGGCTCTTTCCTATCCCCCACCCCAGTCCCCGAAGGCCTGCCCTCAACATCTTTTCTGCCAGACCCTGCCCTGTTCGAGCCACATCTATCTCCTTTCAGGCACCAGTGACCTTCTTCGAGTCCACGCCCATAGGCCGGGTCCTAAACCGCTTCTCCTCTGACGTGGCCTGTACAGACGACAGCCTGCCCTTCCTCCTCAACATCTTCCTGGCCAATGCAGTAGGTCTGCTGGGCCTCCTGGCTGTGCTGGGGTCTGGCCTGCCCTGGCTGCTGCTGCTGCTGCCACCTCTGGGCGTCATCTACTACCGCGTGCAGCGCCACTACAGGGCCTCGGCGCGAGAGCTGCGTCGCCTGGGCAGCCTCGCCCTGTCTCCACTCTACACCCACCTGGCCGACACCCTGGCCGGCCTCCCAGTGCTCCGGGCCACCGGAGCCACCAGCAGGTGTGCGAAGTCTCCTCTCCCAACCAGAGCCAGGGGGATGAGGGGTTGGGGGCGGGTGGGGGGAGGGGCACGCAACACAAGGGGGATCAGGCCTCTTGAGAAGGGAACAGTGGGTGAGGACAGCAAGGGAAAGAGGAAGAAAACAGAAGAGCTATGAGGCTGAGCAGACCACCGCCTCCCCCTGGAAGAAGAGCACCCGGGCCTCTCTACCCCGCAGTCAGGCCCGTGGGTGCGGGTCACTCCCAGCTGCAGGTATCCTGCAGAGAAGGGGTCTGGGTATGTCAGTGCACGATGGAGTAGCCTCGATTCCATTCTGCCCCCACCCCCGGACCCCCCAGGTTTGAAGAGGAGAACCAGAGACTCCTGGAGCTAAACCAGAGGTGCCAGTTTGCTGCCGGTGCCACGACGCAGTGGTTGGACATTCGGCTGCAGCTCATGGGGGCTGCAGTGGTCAGCGCCATCGCGGGCATCGCCCTGGTGCAGCACCAGCAGGGCCTCGCTGACCCAGGTGCCACCGGGCCCTTCACCCTCACCTCCACGGCGTCTTCTTCCTGCCCCTGTGCTCTACCTCTCCTTGAACCGTGCCCCCCACATTTTCACCTGCCACCTGGGATTTTGTCATCACTCCCACTTTAGACTTGAGAAACCGGGTCTCCAAGAGTGACTTGGTGATCTGGAGCTACAAATATTCTCACCGGCATCCCTTTCCTTTTCTCCTCGCAGCCCCAGCATTCTGCTCCTCAACCCCCCCTCGCACCCCACCCCTCCCATAAATAGCCTCTTCAGGCCGACACCTCTCCCCAGCATCTACATCTGTGGTCTTAGACTGAGTTCTGCCATCTTCCTGCGCCTCTACTGACCTTCCTCGAATGTCCAGTCCACAGCGTTGGATTCTCCCTTTCTGCCCCAGCCCTGCCCTCACACACCCCGGTGTCCAAGCCTGCCCTAGCACGGTGCTTCTCCCCCAGGACTGGTGGGCCTGTCGCTGTCCTATGCCCTGTCCCTGACGGGCCTGCTCTCGGGCCTGGTGAGCAGCTTCACGAAGACAGAAGCCATGCTGGTGAGTGTGGAGCGGCTAGAGGAGTACTCGTGCGACCTGCCCCAGGAGCCCCAAGGCCAGTCCCCGCAGGTATGCCTACACCCTGCCCAGCTGCTGGAACCCTGGAGGCCCCTCCCTAAGGCCCAGGGCTCCGTCCCCAAGCTGTACCTTTTGCTCCTCACCGTCTTTCTCAGCTCGGACAATACCCCCTTTTTCACGGTGTCCCTCACCTGTGTTTCCATTCTCCCCTGGGCCCCGCTGTTGTCCTCATGTCCCCCACCTTTCCTCTCTCACCATTCACATTTTCACTTTTTTTCCTCCTCTCTTTTTACCTCTCCATCCACCTTCCCTCTTTCCTCCCCATCTCTCTTATCCCACCCATGGACCGACCCCATCAGCTGGGCATCGGCTGGCTGACCCAGGGGAGCGTGGAGTTCCAGGACGTGGTGCTGGTGTACCGAACAGGGCTGCCAAATGCCCTGGATGGGGTGACCTTCCGCGTGCAGCCTGGAGAGAAGTTGGGGATTGTGGGCCGCACAGGCTCCGGCAAGTCTTCGCTGTTACTGGTGCTCTTCCGGCTGGTAGAGCCCAGCTCGGGGCGAATACTGTTGGACGGCGTGGACACCAGGCAGCTGGAGCTGGCCGAGCTCAGGTCCGGGGAAGGAAGAAGGAGCTCAATGTGATAGGTCGACCCAGCTAGGGAGGTTTCATGTGCCCTCAGGGCAGCCAGGGTCCATGGGGGTAAGATGGGGGGGCGGGGCAGAACTAGCAGCTTCCCAGCCTCCACCCTCCACCTGTCCCTGCCTCCCAGGGGTTGGCCCAGGACACCCACACCCTCCCCTGCCACCTGTCCAAGCCCTGGAAGGCAGTGCTCAGGACAACTCAAGACAAGGACCCTTTGCCTCCTAGCCACGACTGTCCTCATCAGGGACTGAACATCTCCCTACCCCCACCTCAGATTAACAGAGTTGTATTTTTGCCAAGTCCGTGGAAAAGTTAGAGAAGTTCTACCTCCTTGTCCTAAAAGCCTGCCTGATTCCAGGCCCTGGTCCTGGCCTCTCTTCTGACCAGTGGTGCCCTTACTTTAGAGACCAGATAGCTTCTCGGCACCCACTTCCAGCCTTCCTTGAGCCTTGAAGCACCCCCTATCTGTTTAGACTCATGGTGGTTCCCTGCCAGCATCTGCTTTCCCAGTGTCCACTGGAGTCAGTGCCAGTTTAGACCACACTTGTTCCCTGTTTTTGGTACCTCAGTGAGAGCTAAGTTCCTTAAGGACAGTCTGTGCTTTTGTCACAGCCATCGTACATTTGTGGGTTCATGGCCGACCAGATGCTGGAGGTGGGGTGGGCAGCAGGGTGGGGGTTATGTTCAGGCCTTATTCCCAAGTTTTGGTAGAGATGACAGACCTTTAGCTAAAACCTGTGCTGACAGCAGAAGTGGCTGCATCCCCAGCTTAGACCCTATGTCTTATCCCCTCTTTGTCCCCCAGATCCCAGTTGGCTATCATCCCCCAGGAGCCATTTTTGTTCAGTGGGACTGTTCGGGAAAATCTGGACCCCCGAGGCCTATACAAGGACAGGGTCCTGTGGCAGGCCCTGGAGCAGTGTCACCTGAGTGAGGTTATCGGATCTCTGGGTGAGTGTTAGGCCTTATCCTTCAGGACGGATAGAGAAGTGGAGAGAGGCCCAGAGCTGGGGGTGAAGACTGTGCTTTGCAGGTGGTCTGGATGGTGAGGTGGGCGAGGGAGGCCGGAGCTTATCCCTGGGTCAGAGGCAGCTGCTGTGTCTGGCCAGGGCCCTCCTCACAGACGCCAAGGTAAGACAAGAGACATTGGAGGCCAGGAAGAAGGCAGAGGGCGTTAGGGGTGAGGAGGAGGGTTGAGAGAAGTTTCAGGGGGCCACGGGAAGTGGGGTAGTACTTGATTAGGAGCCAAAGCTAGCCTCCTCCCTTCCTTTCCACACCTTCCAGATCCTGTGTATTGACGAGGCCACAGCAAGCGTGGACCAGAAGACAGACCAGCTACTGCAGCAGACCATCTGTAGACGCTTTGCCAACAAGACAGTGCTGACCATTGCCCACAGGTGTGCCCATGTCCAGTGGGAGAATCTAGTCAGGGACTATGGCTTCATGTGCCCAGAGCCTCCATTCTCTTCAGGGACCCCATAGATTAGGGTCCTCAAGATTGCAGCCCCCCTCAAATCTCAGCTCCTCATTCTCTAGACACTGATCAAGGCCCCTTGGAGCTCATGGTTGGACGGAACCTGCAGCCTCTCCCCAGCAGAGCCAGGGCTAAAGCCTGTCTAGAGAGAGGGAACCATCTCCCGTCCTCCCACTGACCACTTTCTTGCACACAGGCTCAACACGATCCTGAACTCGGACCGGGTGCTGGTGCTGCACGCGGGGAGGGTTGTGGAGCTGGACTCGCCTGCTGCCCTGCGCAGCCAGCCCCACTCGCTGTTCCAGCAGCTGCTACAGAGCAGCCAGCAGGCTGCCCCATCCTCCCTCTAAGGCCCCACCCTCCAGAGTACCCCTGTCTTAGCCACTTCAGGGACAAGATACCAGTGCTCTTTTATATTCTTCTTGGTTCTCCCTCACTTCCCCAGAGGAGAGAGGGCCTCCTGGGTTCCTCTTTGGAAACGACTCCTTGGATGGCAGAGGCCCCAAACTGCCCAGAACCAGGCCTCTGCTCACGACCTGTTGTATCTGGAACTCCAGGCCGTTTTTTCTGACAAAGAAACCCACTTGTACTTTCATAGATTTATTTGATAAAATTCCCATTTTACATTCTGTGCATTAAAAAAATAGTATTTCTGGTATGAGTCTGAGTTCCCTCAATATGTGTATCCCAGCTGAAGGGTGGTGAAGATTACTTGAGTCTGAGAGGCAGAGAAAGTGAGGAGGGGCTGGAAAGCCCCCCACCTCCATCACAGTGCTGTGGTCTTTCCGGGCTCAGGGGGCAGGTCAAGTGATGGGGGGGGCCCTGCTGGCAGCATGCTCACCTGACACTCCTGGTCCTGGCGTGCTGGGGCATAGTGCGGGGCAGGGTAGCAACAGGGTCCGGGGGGGCAGACACCCCGGCGCCAGGCCCGCAGGGTTAGGAACACTGTGGACAGGACCAGGGCAGCAGTGAGGGCCCCAAATACCACCACGGCCACCAGGCTAGACTCACCCAGCCCTGCCTCTTGCCTCCGCACCACCTCCTTCACTGAGATGCGCAGCAGACCAGCCCCTGCGCTATGGGGCACAGGCCCCGTGGCAGGTGCCATCACAGGTAAGGTGGGCCCCAGGGGGATGTCCGCTGTGGTGGCCGGGTCCGGGACAGGTAAAACTAGCTCACAAGTCTTGCCGCCATAGCCACTGGGGCAGAGACAGTCGAAGTCATGGACACGGTCCCGACAGCGGGCCCCTCTCTGGCATGGGCGGCTGGCACAGTCATCCAGGTTGATGGTGCAGAATCGTCCGGCAAAGCCCTCAGGGCAGAGGCAGGAGAAGCGGTTTATGCCATCCAGGCAGGTGGCACCGTTAGCACAGGGCCGCATCAGACAGTCATCTACGTTCACCTCACAGTGGGCACCCACAAAGCCCACCAAGCAGCGGCACGTGAAGTTGAGGGCAAAGCCCTGGTTGTCCTGGCACTGTCCACCATTCCGGCATGGGGAGCTGGTATGCGGGAGAGAGGGTGTCAACACCGACATGCACTGCAGAGGAGCTCAGGCCATCATCCTGACTGCTGCCACCCTGCCCCTCTTTCTTGTTATGTCACTGCTAGCCACTGACCCTCGGCCTCACTTGAAAAATGGGAGTATGAATAGCATCCAGTTTCCCAAATTGTGAGGGCTATATGAGATAATCCAGTGACAAGCAGTTAGCACAGGGCCTGGCCCAAAGACAAGGCTCCAGGCAAGTGTGCTATTATTATCTTCCAGGTTCACAGGCCTGAGGCAGAAATGAGGCCAAATCCAGCCCTGTAGGCCTGTTTTCTTACCCATCCTGCAGACTGCTGCATGGGGCATCGTCAGGCCTGCGTGCCTGCTCCCCTGCTCCTGGGAGGATGAGGGGATCTTCACCTTCTCCATGCTCACTCTCCCCCCTCCCGGACAGTGACACTGTCAACACAATTTCCCTTGTGCAGAAATGGTTCAGATGGTACAAAAAGCTGAGAAGCCCTGACTTGGGGGTTTTCGCCTCAGGTGCCCCTAATACTGCACCATCACCCTCTCAACTGCCTGCCTCTGTTCTTGTCCCATCCCCACTCACCCTGCCTGATCACAGGGGCCAGCCTTGCGCTCGCAGTCACGCCCACGGAAGCCTGGGGGGCACACACAGTGGTACTCACCACCCCCATCATACACGCACTGACCTCCATTCCGGCAGGGGGACTGCGTGGCACAGATGTGCTCATCTGTTGAAGAGATGGAAATTCTGGGGTAGTCCCACATATGTGGCACCGAGGCCTGCCTGAGCCCCACCCAAGGCTCCATGGGTGTGGCTCGTACTATAAACCAACCCTGAGGTTGGCGCGGTGTGATGAGAAGGAACAACAAAAGTTCAGGGTCACATCTCCTAGCCTTGGCACTGTTGGTTCTGAGAGTGACTTTGGGCAAGTTGTATCTCATCCGTACAGCTCTGTTTCTTCATCTGCAAAATCTTTGGCAGCTGCCTGGCCTACTTCGTGGGGTTCTGTTGCAGACCATTTCAGACCACAGTTAAGTATAAAGTCTAAAATGATAAAATACTATGGGTTTTTGAGGGTTTGAGCTCAGTAAATATGGCTGGCGTGTTCTCCCAAGACACATGGGGCTCCCCAGCCCAAGAGCTACCATCTCTGCTTCCTACCTTTGTCACAGAACTTGCCTGCCCAGCCACTGTGACAGATGCACTGCCAAGGCTGATGGCAGGTACCATGCTGGCAGCCAGGCATCCTCACACAGCGCTCACAGTACAGTCCCTCCCAGCCTGGGTCACACCTGGTGGGGAGAAGCGCAGGGTCAGGAATCAGGAGATGTGAGGAAATGCAGACGGCAGAACACAGGAGAACATGTCTCAGCCCCTAAGGGAAAGCAGGCCTATCCCAGGTAGTCATAAGACACACATCAATCCTGGTTCTGCAGTTTGACCTTTGTGAGCCTCAGTTTTCTCATCTGTAAATTGGGAATACATCTAGCAGGGATGTGTTGAGTAAGATGTTTATAAATGCCTCCAGTATAACTCTTGGCACATCTGAGGTATTCAAAAGGGTTTTTAAAAGGTGACCTTGAAAGGTCATCTGGACTATTCCCTCCCTGATTCCAGGATGAATGCCTGACTAATTTGTTAAAAGCCCCCCAAGGATGGAGGGTCCCAAACAACCCCAGTTCCTCCAGCAGCTTGCCCTGTCAGCTTATTTCCCTATGTCCAGACACATTTTCTTCTACAGAATTTGCCCAGCCCCCACCCCAGTGAGTCAGTTACTCAAATGCATCCAGAAAGATCCTGTTTCATAAGTGCTCCACCACAGCAACTCTCCTGGCTGCCTTTCTTTTCCGGACTAAACCAATTCCCTTTTTAGCTTTCCTTTATCTCCCCCTGCTGTAGATCCCAACCTCCAAACTCTATCAAGCTTCATTCAGATCTTTCTCCTGGTATGTTTCAGAATTCCTGGATTCCCCCAAGTCTTTGGAAGAGTCAAGAAGTGGAAAGAGAGAAACTAAAAGCAAAGGAAGGCAAAGGGGAGGTGGGAATGGGGGAGAGGCTGGCCCTCACTAAATAGGAATGAGCTGTAGGGTGTTAAGGCCCTAGACACTCAGCCCTGAGGCCTGACCTGGCTGTGGGGGTAAGTACTGGAAAGCGGAGCGCAAAGAGCTTGGGAACACGTGTTCAGGGAGAAGTACCTGCAGGAGCCGTCAGGCGCACAGCAGCCGTGGGACAGGTCACAGTGGGAGCTGCAGTCATCGGCTGCAAGAGATTGATGTGGGAGGGGTGAGGATTTCTGAGCTGCGCGACTCGCGAGAGGATATTAAGTTCCATTAATTGGGTGGGCTCAGGAAAGAGAGATCCATCCTCTCCAAAGGAACCACCTGGGTCTCTCCAGCCCCGCGGGGAGGAGCGGCTGCAGTGCCGTCTCTGGCCAGCAGAGGTCAACGCACAAGGGAGGGACCGCGGGTCAGGGCCAGGACCTGAGCCCCGGGCCGCGCTCACCTCGGACAGGCTGAACCTGCGCCCCCAAGAAGCACAACAGGCACACGAGATGTAGGCAGCGGCAGCCGCTGGGCATGGTCGGCGCCGGCCCCAGGTGGGACAGACGGATGAAAAGCCGGACGTTCGGACACCTGTGGGACGACACAGGCTAGGAGACGGCCCGACGCGGAGATAGCGGCAAGGATTCGGGTCCCGCTTGACAGGAATCGAGGCGGGAGAGGGGCATCTGGACAGGAGGAGGGGTGGGGGCGGCGGGAGGGCGGGGTCGGGGAGGGCTTAGGCGGGCAAGGGGACTGGAGACCGGAACTTGGAATCCCGCTGTGTGAGGAGTAAAGGATGGGCAGCGCGGTGCGAGGTCAGCGCGCTGCAAGGGCTGGAGCAGGGGACGCAGTCGGATGGAGGAGTCCCCTGGCTGGGAACAGCGCCCAGAGGCGGACTCGGGCACCGAGGGGACGCGGGAGGCCGTGCACAGCATCGGGCAGTCGCCGTCCCCTCCGCCCCCACTCTGCCCAGGACTTGCTCCCATGCCCCCTTCCCATCACGGCCGCACTCGGCTCAGCCGCGACACCGGGCCTGAAATCCCCCGAGCGCCCCCAGCCCGGCGCGCCCTGGCCCTCGCGGTCCTCACCTCGGACTGGTAGGTGGCGCGCCCCCGGGGCACAGCTAGGCTGGATCCGACGGGCTCCACCGAGGGGCTGGGCCGGGGCGTGGAGCCGCCCCTACCGGGCCTCGGGGCCAGGCGCCCTGGCGGCTGCCATCAAGCCCAGTGCTCGGCAATCTGGTGCTCTAGGCGACCCCGAGCGGCTGCGGCTCCTCGCTCGCGTGAAGGCCGCCTGCCAGCGGCGGCGTGAGCCCGCGGAGCCGCCTCCTTCCTTCTTCTCTAGGCAGCCGCCCGCCCGCCCGCCCCCAGTCTACCCGCGTCCGGCGCCCACCCCGCGGCGACGCACCGCGCACACCTCGCCCCAGCTCTCTCCCCTGCCTTCGCGGCTCGTTGCTGCCAGGCTCCCACCCTCCGCTGCCGCCTAACCTCTGTGAACCTCGCTTTCTTCAACGAAAGGAGGAAATTATGGGAGTCTAAATGGAAGCCGACCGTGAAGTGGCGGCCAATATGTGCAGTCCTATTATTCTCCCATCTTGCACCCCAGCTTTCTGGGCCCGCGCCCCACCTCTGCTCTTACCAGTCCGCTTCCCATCACGCTTCTCATATATATCCCATGCACGCTCAGGGCACACTTGCGGCTCCCCGCCCTCCTTCTGTCACCAGTCCACGCCTCCTCCCGTTTGTAAATCTACATCAACTGCTTCATCTGTCCGCTCTTCTCCCCGCCCTCAGCTTCTCTTTATTGCCTTCCACAGCCTTCCAAAACCGACTCAACTCCACCCCGTGCCCCCGCAGCCAAGTCTCAGACTTTCCATCCCCCTTCCCAGTCCTTTCCGTGACCGCTCCCGGGAAGTCTCTGGATTAGGATGCTCCTGACTCTTTGTGCCC